GTTGTACGGTGTCCTCGAGTGCCCAGAGAGGCGCCTTTAAATAAAATGTATTATTATTATTATTATTAGTGTTTCTTGGGACCGGGCCTCACTAATTACTGCACAATTTACTCTGGCTCCTCAGTACTCCTAACGGCATGTTCAAGAATCCACTGTGTCTAAATGAAAACAACCAATCAGAGCTGAGACGGATAGTTTCTTCCAAGCGCAATGGCCAAACTATCTAACTATCTAGCTGTGCATGTTGCTGCCAGGTGCAGTGACTTCCTGGAATACTGTCATCAACATTAATCAGCAGAAGTGACTGTGGCAGACCAAGAAATAGTCCAGAAACATAATCCCAAAAAACCACAACTTGCTTTGTTTTTATATATTGTGTTTTTTTATCGATCCCCTCGTTCACTCCCAGCAAGCAAATAAGTGTATTACCCAAATTAGCAAAATATTCCTTTAAAGCTATAAAAACAGGCAAAGTTTATATTTGTTTAAGAATAATGGACTCATAAAACATTATCAGGGTCCTCGGATACATCTGTGAGTATGTGAGAGGCTGACTGTTCAACAGTTTATTTTGATTATCAGTTAACATAACCACACAGATTTGTATTTGTAGAAAAACATGCAAAGTTCTTCAACAGGCAGCAGAACATGCACATGACAGCGGTATGTGAATCATTTCACAGACACAAAGCCCACATTGGTTCCTCAGTGTTTTTGACTGTTTAGTTTAGAAAAAGTGTATATTAAAAATAATGCATTTAAAAGTTAAAACATCTAAGTGCCTTCAGAGCAGTAATGCAAGTCTGCTTCCTACTTCACAAGCAGTTACTGATTTCACAATGCATAGACGACTATAGCCGAACGCGTGACCCTAAGAGGGAGGCATCATCTCCTGCCCTGTCTGCACTGTTGGAATTTTTTAGGGTCCTAACTGAGTCCAACTGCGAGGGAAATAATGAGGACGGTGAGACATACTGCAACACAACATCCTATCAGGATCTTCTTCTGGATGTGGGGAAAGGGGAGGGGAAACAAGGAGGGCAAAGTGTCAGATAATAATTAAGGCGATTTGTGACAGAAAGAATGAGAAACAGACAGAAGTAAAGAGAGGAAGAAAGGAAGAGAAAGATAGAAACTTTGTTGTTCTCTGATTAGAAGTGGGTTGCCAAAGCCTCATGGGGGTCGCAAGGCCTTCTTGAATTTAAGGCAAATAACAAAACTAAATGGAAAATATACACAGTAGTCGTGTATGTAGGGTCGTGTGATGTATGAAACTCTTCCACCTTTGAGTGCTATTATAGATTTTAACCAAGAGGTGGCAGAGTTGCTCCACTGTGGTGCAGGCTGTTAAACGAAGGAAGGATAGTGAATAACCATGAAAACTGTAGACCATGTTTCCCAGTAGTTTTTCTCTGCTGTACCCATTCAGGCCGGTAAAATGAGCCCAAGCTAGGGGTGTAGTGGGGGATAAACCCAAATAAACTCAGTTTATCCACCTCTTTGAAATTAGAGTTTACTAATCTATTTTCAGATAACTATATCAGTCAATGAGGGGAAACAAGGTGGGTAAACTACAGTTAACCCACAGTTTACTCACCTCTTTATTTACAGAGAGATGTTCCGAATCTTTTGAACACATTACATAAACTGGAGACTATTCATTATTTAAAATTGGAT